ATGTAAGAAATAGCAGTAGCACAAATTGTAATTTAATTAAAGGACATAATAATTACCCATTTACTCAGAATTGCCAACGCCATCAACTTCTCATTACGCAGAAAGCGTTTAAAAATAAATAAAAGCATTTACCATTTATCCTAAGGTCAAATCGATTTCGACGAGCTCATTCTGAGTGAATATGACATTTCGGGCATATCTTTCTCACGGTCTGTCTGATCGGGATGCAATTACTTGTTTAGTTTTTGCATCGAAGCAAATCAGGGAATCCTTTCTTCCGAGACGTGCAACCGAGTCCGATCATCGATTCTTTACAGTGACATAGTGCCTAACGGTTACATAATATGCAAATGTTACAACAGGCAATAATGCGGATGACACAAAAACAAGAAATATTTCCATGTTGTCAAGACCGGTTAGATATTTGATATAATTTATTGTGCTTAAATGAGATATAATTGGTGCACTTAGATAAAGTTTGTAATCTACCAGATGTAATTTTTTTATATAATACTTCTTACTTACTCGTATCTATAAAAACTTCAAACCCTAACAAAAATTCATATTTCCTGGAACAGATAATAAATGAATAATATAATAAAATTAATGTTATCATCTTCATCATCATCAGCAGCCTATCGCAGTCCACGGCTGGACATTGGACTCTCCCATTGCACACCACTTAGATAGATTTCGGGCTTCCCTCATCCAGCTCCTGCCAGCCATGTTGCGCAAATCGTCACTCCACCTGGCCTGTGGGTGTCCTATACTACATTTGCCGAGACGCGGTCTCCACTCAAGAACTCGTTTTCCCCAACGGTTGTCGGTTCTGCGTCTAATATGGCCAGTCCCACTGCCATTTCAGCTTGCTAATCCAGTAGGCTATGTCGGTCTCCTTGGTTCTCTGCCAGATCACCTCATTCCTCATACGATTTCTTAGAGAAACGCCGAGCATAGCCCTTTCCATAGCAAGTTGAGCGACTTTGAACTTATGGACCAGCCGTACCGTAAGAGCCCACGTTTCGGCGCCGTATGTCATGACGGGTAGGACGCACTCATTGAAGACTTTCGTCTTAAGGCACTGTGGAATCGACGATGAGAAGACTCGACGAAGCTTCCCAAACGCTGCTCAACCCAACTGAATTCTTCTGTTCATCTCGTCCTCGAACTTGTTTCTACCTAACTGCAATGTCTGCCCGAGGTACACATAATTTTGAACAACTTGGTTCTGGTGGCACGTGTTCATTGAACATGACCTTGGTTTTATCCAAGTTCATCCATAAGCCGATGCGTACAGAAGAGTCAGCTAGGTCATTCAGCATCTGTTGTAGGTCCTGCAGCGTCATTGCCATGATGTTGACGTCGTCTGCAAATCGCAAGTGAGAGATGTATTCGCCATTGATATAGATGCCACGCCCTTTCCAGTGCAGCGTCATGAACATGTCCTCCATTGCATTTGTGAACAATTTCGGGGAAATAACGTAATCTGCCAGGACAGCATTAAAGAGCTTTTGGAGCTCCTTTAGTACGGGTTTACCTCCGGCCTTTAGCAGCTCTGTTGTAACGCCATTCTCTCCAGGTTTTTTACCATTTTTCTGCTGTCCAAGAGCCATCTCGATTTTGTCAGTGCTGGCTCTGGAGTCCTCATTTTTGAAAGGCTTTGAAACAACGACCTGTCCACTTGCTGTGGTCAACTTTGTCAGGTGGCTTCTCCCAAGAGATTGTACGAACCGCAAGCCAACCTCACCTGCCCGCGGTGGATCCTGCTGAACGACGACGAGGCTCTGGTGGCATATTCATCTCTATAGGAGTAGCTAAATACAACAGGCCGGTGATGGCCAGCAGCATCGCCCGTGCAACAAGCTACGCCCTGCGATCGCCAACCCGCCTGATTAGCGGTAGCGGTTAATGGCAAATCCTCCCCATGCATTCCCGGCGGCCCCACTATCCCTGATCATGGTGGCGACCACGGTAACGGCGGGGCAAAGAATCTACGGGCTACTGAAGGCCATTACAACCGACTGACCCTGGCTATGTACAACGGACGCACGCTACGCTCGCATCTGGCGCAACTTGAGGTGGAACTTGGAAAGATTAGGTGGTATATCCTATGGGTATGTGAAGTCCGAACAGAGGGGGAGGACACCATAACCCTCGAGTTAGACCACCTAATGTACTTCCACCAGGGAGACCAACAATCCCAAGGTGGCGTTGGGTTTCTGGTAAATAAGTACCTTTCTGACGTTGTAGAAATTTCCAGTGTGTCGAACAGGGTAGCGTACCTCATTATCAAGCTCACCGAGAGGTATAGCCTCAAGGTTGTGCAACTTTACGAATTGACCTCGGCACACTCGGATGACGAGGTGGAGGATATATTCGATTACATATCGAGGGCCCTCCATTTCTCAACTAAGACCCACTACAACGTATTTATGAGTGACTTAAACGCTAAAGTGGGAGTACAGAATTGCAGCAAATCGGTAGTAGGATCCCATGGATTGGAAGCAGGAAACATAAGGCTCTTCTTGATGAAGTCTTTCTTCAAGAAAGAGCCCCAAAGGATTAACTATAATTTAAATAAAATATAACTGAATTGTTAATTTATTCACTAGTGGTAACGAAATTTTTCCTGGGTGGAAATTGAACTGAAAATTCTATTACGCAGGAATGGATTCTAGTAAACTTAATTTCTACACAACATTAATTGATAAAACTGTTATAGTAAACAGCATGTTTATTACAATTGTAATTGTTATGAACTATGTTAGAAATTTAGCAACACATGCAACTTGTCAATATTAAGTAGGACAACTACCTCCGTATCCCGCAGGGTTAGCTTGGATCCATCGAGTACTGTTAAGGGGAATTAAAGTGACATCTTGCCGTAACGGGCTAACGTTTTTGTAGCCGCATCGCAAGCGTCGTGATTCGATTCCAGATACCGCGAATCTAACGTATCAGGACGTACTTACACATGTTTTTCTCTACAGTACTAGAGGTCAGGACAAATTAGTCGTTCTAACACTACTTACAAGCGTGTTAAGTATTTACGTGAGGCCTTCATTAGGGTAAACCTTAAGAGAATACTTGTGAATATTTATGCCTTGAAGTGAAAAATACTGTTGTTTTCATTCATTTACACGTCATCATTGCGTATCATATTACGTTAAAACTTGTTTATGAATATCTTGTATAACATTATGTAGTGTTACGTTCTATTCCCATCAGGAGGTTTTTTTTATAAACTAGCTCTTTTTCAGATATTGTCTATCTGTTTAGCTGTACACGTCTATATTTAATAAAAAATGTTAGAATAACGGTCAGTGTTATTCAGAATAGTGATGCAATTCATCTTTTGAGAAATAGTTTACGGTAATAACCATGTAGATTTCAGATGTTAAATTTAACATTATTAAAAAATAAATATAGTTGACGCTTATTTTGAAGACTGTATTTTTTTATGTTTTGAACGACACTCTAAACGGCTACGATTTACTGCTCACTATATTTCATACATGTGCGCAGTAAATATCTTTGTTAATTCATAGAAAGATTTTAACTACAAATAATGTTTGTAATCCAGCATAAGTTGTAAAGATGCTATGTGTAGATCAAATGTATTAGATTTAAAATTATTTTTGGCTGCTTGTCACTATTACAATTGATAACCTTGATAAGGTGTTGATCCAAATCAGATTCGCTGAGTATGTAACACACATGGAAAATATTTTCAATCTCAAGTACTCGTACTATGCAGAACTGGCTTGTGACTTTCTAATTTTTAGCCAGTTAATTGAATTCTTATCCAAATTATAATGAATAATAGAAATAACTACGCAGTTCGCATGAGGATAAATTGTCTTGGGTCTTTGTTCATATCAACAACTTATGGAGGTCACAGCAATTCAACACAACTGATGAGGAGTATATAATGAAATGTTATGAGTGAACACGATCGCTCATCACAATTATCTCTGTCACGAACATGAGATTTTGTATTTCTCGTTTAGTAACAATCTGGCTAACGAGCTAACTTAAAAATAAATTACGGCAAGCATCAGTATATTTTGCGGTATGTATCTGTGATTAAACAAAACCATGGTTGCTTATTACTCAAGTTTTAACTACGATTTCTCAGAGAGGATATTTAACTCGTATAGGAGCTGTTCTACGCTGATTTTAGAAAAAAGAAAATATTTATTCTTTTTTCTTAATTACCATTATTTGCTTAGAAACTTATAAATGTTCAAATAAAATGTAAGTGTGTTGAACAGACGGATTCACACAGAGCAGCCTTAAACCACAGATAGTTCGTTGGAAAATACTTTAAATTGAGATTATTTGATCTAAACTTAGTTATTGGAAAATATATTGTAACATTATATCTTCTTAAGGTATAAGTCGGTTTTGATTTCGCTTCGTAGTTCTAGAAAATTGAAATAGGCGGGTCCACACAGAGCGAGAATAAGTAAGTGAAAATAACTCTCTGTGGTTTTAGTGTCAAAACAGTAAGGAGAGATCTATTCACAGTATTGGTTTAATGCGTATCTCCAAAGTAGGCGTATTAAATTAATGTACCATCGCCAAAACCTGAAAAGTATTTTGTGTTTGCTATTTTTAATTTTACGTGATCTATATTCCGTATAGTACTGTGAACTACAGTATTTATATAGCCGACCGAACTGAAACAAAAATTCTTAACAAATTACTCTGTTAAATTAAAACTTAGTTTTCTTAGTTATTTATGTAAGAAGTAAGTATTAATAAACAATTAATATTACATATTAATTAATACGCACGGGAACAAAAGTTTCTCATGAATAAACTCACCAGTTTACACAAGATAAGGAAAGTAGTATTACATTTTACGAATAGGCCTAGTATAGTCACAATTTCTGATCTCATAAACTTCGCTGGCAGAGATTTCTATAAACATGGTTCGGAAAAGATCATATAGCTTAATTTTTTTTTTCTCTTTTGCAGTTATCTAAATATCGTACCTCCAAGATGCGGATGCACACTGAGTAGTAGACAAGGCTCGTCGCCGGGTTCCCGGCAGCAGTCGAGCACGTCGCGACAAGTCGTGTCCGGCGTCACCGGCACGTGGGTCGGCGCCCAACCAGCGCCGCTCTCGCACCACACTCGCACTATCATCTGTAACAGTGAAATTAGGTAATCAATTCCTTGCTCATATTTCATTGCCATCTAGCGAAAATCAGTAGAATTAACTGACAGTTGTTGAATCTGTATTTCGCAATTAATGATATATACATACACATAGACACACACATTATTTTGTTATGTATGAACAACTTCTCATTGTAGATTAATCATTAGGTTGAAACGCCTACGCATAAACAGCTCGCATGTACGAATAATATTTTTTGCCGACGACGACGATGACAATTGTTCTACCACAAAAGTATTAATATTATCGTATGTACCGATACATTATATTTCGAGTGTTATTAAGTTCCTCAAATATGAAATATATTTATAATACAACAATATATAAAATAAAGAAATTAATTAAATTAATTGTAAATATTCTTTAACAGATATACTTATACTGACTATCTATGTATGTGTCACATACAGAACAGCTGCTAGCTGACAATGGCAGGTTTCCTGTGCCCTCTAAAATAATACACACCTACTTACATACAACATGCTTCTTATAATACTAGTTGTCGAAGCGCAAAACAAGCAGTCCAACATCGGTAGCTTTTATGCTACAGATATAGGTGACAAAAAGACATCAATCTCAGTTTAATGCCCTATAAAGCCTGTCTGGAGGCTCATGAAATATGTATAGCAGAATAAAGCATGGTCAGTAGGGCCTTGCCACGAGATCTCGGTGACCACTTGGGTAGAAAACTACATTACAATGTAGAGTAAAAGTATACTAACATTCAGTCAAAAAAGTATCGGGAATGGATGATTCGTTTATGGTTCCAAATTCAAATTTTTGTTTTTTTTGTTGTTGTTAGATTGGCACAACTGTTTTCCATTTTGGCGCGGAGTTTAAGTTGCATCTGTTATTTATATTAAATACAGTGCTGTTTTTAGTTATATTATATCTAGTGTGTACTGCGAATTTCATAATGGACAAAAACATCGAACAAAGAGTTTGTCTTAAATTTTGCATCGCCAATAGAATTTCGTGTTCGGAATCACTGAAAATGTTACAGAAGGCTAACGGTGAATCGACTTTATCAAAAACACGTGCTTATAAGTGGTACAAAGCGTTCAAAAGCGGTCGAGATGTGATGGAGGATTTGACTCGCTCTGGTAGGCCATCAACGTCTGCAACTGAACTTCATCGCAAGAAATCATCATCAAGAACATCGCAAAAGTGAAGGAAATAGTGACTAAAAATCCTCATTCAACTTTGAAAGAGATAGCCGCCGAACTTTCCGTATCTCACGAGTCGATCCGTACCATTTTAACTAATCATTTGGGTATGAAACATGTTACCGCTCGCTAGTCCAAAAAGACCTGAATTTTCTCCAAAAACTCAATCGCATGGGAGTCGCTGAGGACATGCTAGAACGAGTCAATTCCGACTCAACATTCATGAAACGCATTGTTACTGGTGACGAGACGTGGGTTTACGAGTTTGACGTGCAAACTAGTCAACAAGCTTGGAGTGGCGCCTTCCAACTGTACCGAAACCGAAAAAACCACGCCAAAGTCGATCAAAAGTCAAAGTCATGTTGACTGTTTTCTTTGACTATCGCGGTGTTGTGCACTCGGAATTTTTGCCGGAAGGTCAAACGGTATATAAAGAATATTATTTGAGCGTTATGCGGCATTTAAGAGAGCAAATGCGACGAAAAAGGCCAGATTTGTGGAAAGAAAACCACCACGATAATGCGCCTTCGCACAGGGCCATCATTGTCAACGAATTTTGGACCAAACACTCAACAAATACCATCGAGTAACCATTCACTAGATATGGCTCCAGCCGACTTCTTTCTTTTTCCTAACTCAAATTACCACTTCGTGGCACCCGTTTTCAATCGGTAGAAGACATAAAGGAGAATTGAACTGAACTCAAATCCGGAACCAGCATTTAAAAAATGTTTTGATGATTTGATTATTCGTTGGCGTAAGTGTATCGTTTCTGAAGGAGCATACTTTGAAGGTGACAAAATAAATTTGGATGAATAACAAACATTTTGTGTATTATTGATCTTTTCCCGGTACTTTCTTGACAGAGTAGTATTAAAGTACAAAGTTTAAAGACCACCAACGAAAAAACAGCAAATACCCCTTCAGTCAATTATTGTTTTTTTACTTGTGTAAATCTTTCGTAGGAGATCCTAATAAATAAATCATTTACATTTTACTATGCAAAAGTAGAATATTCCATGAGATAACTCATTTAAAGCTAAATGTGTCTTTGATAAACAAATATACACAATTATGTGGGGGAAACAAAAAACATTGGTTTTAGTAGATTCAACATATTTTATTTTTTCATATTTTACACGGCTACCTACCCGTTAGACCTCCCAGTGTTTTATTTTGATAAAGTGTTTCACTTTTGTGCACGACTGTATTTTAGCTCTTCGTACGAAGATGTATAAATGAGGTCCAATTGAACACGTTGTTTGATAGAAGTTCTAATGGGCACTCAAGTATACGCAAAGTCTAAGTTTGAAGGTCCATACGGTACAAGAAGGTCCAAAGGGTCGTATTTGTAGTTGAGGTCCAAACTTTTATCATTACACGATTCACCATTAAATACATTTCACAATCTGCAAGCAAGCACCATCCATGACAAGTAATTTGACGATGAATCCTGTTGAATATTGGTATTAAAATTTCAGATCTTGTAGTGTTTTAAAGTTCAGCAAATAATAAACACTTAAGAAAGTATCCATAATTTGCTTACTCTATACAATTGTTTTTTTTTTTTGGTGCAAAAGGCATTTAAAATAGAAGACATTAGAAGCTTGGATTATCTTCAGCTACATATCCTCCAAGATTGCTACTGGTTAATAATAACGAAATACTGAACATCAATTTAATTAACATATTCCGTGTTTTGATATTTCGTGTATATAACCTAGTAATAAAAAATATTAATTAATAGCGATTAATGTGTTTTGTTGTAGCTACTACTTTAATGGGTTGTGTTACATTTTATTTATCTCCAAGTTTTACGTCTTGAATTATTATATCTTGTACAAGTATTAAACGAATTAAGTTATTTATAACCAACATTTATTATTAGGTCCCGATTATTTAACAAAAATTGTGTTCTGTTTCCTTGATTTTGGAACACTTTGGCGGTAGGCAGTTTTTGGTTGGGGTTTAACGAACTCAATTCTAACAAATTCTTATAAACAAAAGTTGAGAAAGTGAGGTAGGTAGAAAAAATCAAGAAGGAGCTAAGTCTGTTAACACACCGAACGGACCGAACGGAAAACATGTGAATAATGGAGTAATAAACCAGTATTTACCCAACCCTTTAGTATATTTACTCCCGCAATATTTCATCGCACAAACAACACTGGGATTAATTACAGGCATTTGGTTCCGCCTACGGAATAATAGACGACCACTTTGGTCATATATTAAAAGCTAAATTAAGAGCACCATTGACTTTCACGTTATATCAAAGCATATCTAACAATAGGCGAGAGGTATGGTAATGTGCCTGTAAAGGCCACCGCACACAATACACATTCATGCTTCACCTGATGATAAAAAGATAAATTATATATATAGAATCATAAAATGGAAGGCTTTTTTTTTATTCCGACTTCAAATTGTATTGAAATGCTATAATTTGTATCAATAAAAATGATCAATCATCAGCCGATTGCCGTCCACTGCTGAACGAATGCCTTCCCCAAGGAGCGAAAACCATATCGGTCTTGGGCAGTCCGCATCCATCCGCTGCCAGCGATTTTCCTCAAGTCGTCGGTTCATTGTGCCGCAGGGCACCATGCACTAAGTTTGCTTCATAAATTGAATGTTAAAATTAAATCTTTACTTTCTTAACTTACTGTTGTATGAACTTCCAAACGAACGAACGGTTTCAAAACGAAAATCGAAAGACAAAGCTTTTTTATGTGCTTGCTATGACTGCCCAAGAGGTGCCACAACAAACAAACAAACAGGTTCGATCCCGAGTCTACGTATTAATCCCAGGATTTTGGGACTATTAAGAAATAGTCCCGGGATTGGTGACAAGAAAGACTTGTTTAGGGTGTTTCAAGATTTCTCTACCGCTTTCGCTACCGTCTCATGAACGTAAGGTGAAAAATTTATTTCGCTATTGTCACATGGGAGTAAGGTGAAAAATTTATTCACTGTTCATTACTATTCCCTTATACAAAAGTTCTTGTAGTAACGAAACGACCAAGCTACATATTTTGACTAATGTGTTGAGTTTGTGAAGTTAGGGCTTGTAGAGTTAAGGCGTGTAGAGTTTTAAGTTTGGTTCTAAATCAGATCTGAAAACTTTTTGATAGTACGAGCCATATCGTCTCGTCTTGGCAACTTTTTTCATAAAAATGGTTTTGGTGGGATTTCTTATACACATGTTAATTGAACGGTGCGCTTACCAAAAAGTTTTTACTGAAGATCAAAATGTAGCTTAGTATAAATATTTCCACTGTCGATAACAAAAGCAGATTGAAAGCAGTGACCCTTAATAATTCCAAATAAATACAAACCAAAGACCACCTAATATGGACAGTCCTTATTTCAAACACCATTTGCCGCTTAAGCATTCACTCGCTAATTTGACCAGTTATACAAAAGCCTCAGGAATTATATGAATGTGTAAATTACGAAGCGGTTTTATTTGCAAAATATCGAAACAAATCAAATAGCACATTTACATTTTGTCCCCTTTATAGTACCGCAACCAAACATTCAGACAATATAAAAGCGCCAACAGTATTTAAATTGTTCTGCTATAGCAGTAAGCTATTCAAGTTTCCTCCAAATTGGCATTTGCAATTGTTATATATCCATCTGTCTCTTGAACTGAATTTTCATCTCACACTTAGTCGTAACTGTCACAAAGAATGGTTACAAAATGAGTAGAATAAGACGCACTTGACACTTTTTGTATTACTTTAAAAGTAACCTTAACTAAAACATAATACTGGTTATGATCATGACAGAGACAG